GGGTTTTGCAGGAGGTGGGACCCACATTTTTTTCTTGTTTGGTTTTGGGCAGTATGACATTTTTTTTTCCAGGTGTGCGTTTGAAGTGTCACTTTATTGTTGACATGTCATCGTGCTTTGTTAATCAAGGACACGTCACTAGATTTTAACGGATTTTTAACGGAGGGACTAAATCAGGGTCAAAATGGTAAACAGTAGGGACCAAATCAGGGATTTTTTGAGTTAAGGGACTAAGTCGGGGGTCCGTACGATAATTGAGGGACCAAAATGGGGGCTTAACCTTTTTATTTTAATCATATTATTATTTATTTATTTTAATTATTTATTTAATTATAAAAAATCTCTTATTATTTTTTAAATATTATAAATAAATACACTCAATGTTCTCAAAATTTTAATTTTAAAAAAATAAAAAATAACAATTATTTAAAAAAAAAACCAGATTAGTTTTTTTTTGAACAAATTCGCAAATAACCGAATTCGAGCTGTTACTTTAAGAGATGAAAAATGTACTTATATGTGGTCTGACGTCACTGAACTGAAGACCCAAATGCAAAACTCAGATTAGTTTGTCTTTAATTTGATTAGAGATATGAATTAATACGAGTCTTCTGGTAGATATCTAAATCCCATGTAAATAAGCCATCTCTCTTTTTCGATGGACATAAATTACTCCTTTTTTTTTTTTTGAATTTTTTTGACATGTGACGGGTTTAAAACTCGCCCAGAAAGGAGAAAATGCACTTTTCAATGGTTAGTGCTATTGAAGCTCTAGGGCCAAGTGCTACTCTCTTTTTTCTTTAATGACAGTAAATAATCAAATTTTAATCATATTACAGACAAAGATTAAATATACTGCACAAGTACTTTTTTTAATTTTTTATAAGAGCAATGGTTAGAATTTAATAAGGTTAGAATTGTTAATGACAGATATTAAATATGGATAATGGTGCAATCTACTGGCTGTCCTTTTGGATAATAGTGACCACAGCCACAGCAAGAGAATGCGGAAAGAGATGAAAATTGAACCCCACACCCAAAATAAGATGCTCTTTAACAAATAATTAAGTGGTCACTTGAGTCACGTGAGCTTCTTGTACCAATACATATTATAACACTATACTACTTTTTTAAAATATTAACTTATTTTTAAAAATAAAATTTATTCATATTTTATATAAAAATAAAATTTTATATAAATATAATATATAAAATTTATAATTAAATAAATAAATACCTACACTTTCTAGATTATTAAGCTATAGATTACTATTGTTATAAAAAATATTCTTTTTAATCTGAATTACATTACCTAAATAAAATATCTGTTCAAGTTGAAATGGCAATATTTCTTTAATAATTAATGAATATCCATGCTGAACTAATTCATTAAAATTAAAACTATTATTGACATTTCAATCCAGAATTGATACTGTAGGATGAGCTGGTATATTGTTATTGTTGTTTGTTTTTAGTTTGTATGGTATGAAAAATATAGTTTAGATTATAAAAATATGAAAATATTTTTATGAATCTTATTTACTTTTTATTCACTTTCTAAGTTCATTTGTAATAAATTTAATTTGATATTTTAATTTTTAAATATAAAATTTAAATAAAAATTTAATATTTTATGTAAATAATATTTACAAAATTTTTAATTAAAGAAAAATACTTAACAAAAATTTTACTAAAAGAAAAAATTTTAATTGTTAACATATATTGTTAAATTTTTATTTAAAATTTAGATTTA